GGCGCAAAATTGGTGGTAAAATGGCCCATTGCGCCTAAAATCGATCAAGGTTCCATTTCAAGACTTTAAAGATAATCAACACCGAACTTTTTACGGCTGTCAAAAGGGATATGAAGAGCAAAAGCTAGGAAGAATAAAAGGGGCGAGATAGATGGAAGAAAAAGGGCCAAAAAAAAAAAAATCGAATCAGGTCAGCAAAAAAAAAAACAAAACAAAAAAAAAGTTCTGGCTTATGCGCATGCACCAAAGTAAAACATTGTACATTTTGGTACCCAAAACCTCAGGGAAATCTTGCTCTTCGGTAAGAAATTGCTTTTTTAGCAAAGTTGAGGCCAATTTAGGTTCGTGGCAGCCAAAAAAACGGGCTAAAGGTAAAGAAAAAAACAACAGCATTTTTTGAGGAAATTTGCCAGTTAATGGGTTAAAACACGCTTATTGAAGCATGGAAATACATAACAAAATCAAAAATATATCAATAAACCAGAAACAAAGACCGATGACGCAAGATACGGATCAAGTTTCGTCACCTTTTACAGTAGACAAATCAGNATTGAAGCATGGAAATACATAACAAAATCAAAAATATATCAATAAACCAGAAACAAAGACCGATGACGCAAGATACGGATCAAGTTTCGTCACCTTTTACAGTAGACAAATCAGGTTTTTTTGTGCAGTTTGTTAGTCGTTGATCGATTAACTGGCCGTTGTCGAGAGATTATTTGAACGCTCGAGACGTGACTCAGTGGCCGTTGTGTGGCCGTTTCAGCGAGCTTAAACTAAAGGTGAATGCATAGACCTCCCACAGAGAGGTGGCCGTTAGTGGAGATTCGACTCCCTGTAGTAGACGATGGTAGTAGAAAACGCTTCAAAAAGCGTGCATTGTCAAACGAAAACGCATTGGTGTGTACGGGGCCTCAAATACGCTGAGGGTTTGCCAAGCCCAGCCCGGCAAAATGGCTCTTTCAACTACAAGGCACTCTCGTAATTATGAGCGTATAAATTATTCATATACTTTTGAAATAAGGACTTTATTTGTCAACCCAAG